AGGCGGGTATGGACCTCCGTTACCGGCAGGTCGTGGAACCCCCACACAGCCTCCGTCACCTTTCAACGCATTCCTGGTCACGACCCCGGCGGGTGGCTTTGCTGCACCTCAGGGCTACCCTCAGCAGGGCTACAGCACAGCACCTCAGTTTGGTCAGTAATACTGATACATTCGCTCATTACAACCCTTTGTAGTGATGTCAAAACAACACCAAAGTGCTTACAGGTAATATAGCATATATAATGGTAACACAGAATTAGGTGGAGATAAGGAGTTTCTAAAAACCGATATTGATTTCTGACTAAGGTCATAGATAATCAGCTGTGTCTAAATTCTGTTTTCACATTTTTATCTCTACAAGTTTCCTTCTTCAGCGAGCAAACGCCTCACAAACTACATTTAGATCATCAACTTTTCTATAAATTAAAATGGGTGTATATTATATATTATACCTTTTAAGTGAATCTATATCAGACTTTCCAGGCAGCTTTGCTGTTGTCAGGGAGGAACCTCCACCTTATCAGAGATGGACAGTGTGACTCGCACATATTCAGCATTTTTTGAAATGTTGCTTGTTTTTACCTTCCACCAGTTAAACCTGTTAGCAGAAGTACCAAGCTAAAACCAGGGAGAAGGAAGCCCAAAATGGTCCGTTTATAAGTGTGTTGGCAGAATTTGATCTGGCAGCTGATATTTGCAAAAGACTTGTGTTCTTACAGCCTAAAATGAGAAGAGATTTATTGGAGAAAAATTAATACCTTGGCAAGTACGTTGTAGTGTTTTTTGTATGATGGTACGGTGTGGTCAACTAGATTTTGTGACTGAAGACTGAACTTGTGGAAGAGATTTTGTGTTTTACTCAGGGACACAAACACTGAGGTTTGACCAGGGTCATCTGGTCTGAGACCTCTGTACTCATACATAATGTTCCATCTGTGATAAAGCAACACTAGGAAATGATCATTAGGTAAAAGTCACAGAAATTATCTTATTACTGTCCAACAGGTTACAGTTTCGGCACACCCCAAGCAGACCAGTATGCTCCACAGGTTCCTCCTCCTCCCAACACTCCAGGAACAGCAACACTAGGCTTTGCTCCCGCCACCACACCAACTCAGGACTTAAGCAAAGCTCCCACTGGGCAGCCTGACTTCCCCTATAGCCAGTATGGTAAGAAAAGCATTGTGCATTAAGCAGCTTGCTGCCCTTTTCTCTCCCATTTAATTTGTGTTCACCCCTCGGGCCTCCCCCCATCTCCCTGGATATTTTATTGGATGCAACTACAGCTCATTTAAGTGCGAATCTACAGCCCTTAGACAAGCAGGAACTTGCTCTTGGTACCATTTAGCTTGAACAGCTACACATGCATACATGCTTCTTGCATACATGAACCCCTCTGGCTCTGCCGTGAAGATGCTGCTGAAGTTTCACCATATCCAGGAGTCTTCAGCAGTAATATCTGTCAAGTTTTGCAGCTGGGCCGTTGGATTGGTAAAACGATTGGTAGGTCTCGGTAGGTTTGAATTAGATCATCCTGCCTTGCAATGTTTATTTTTGTTGTTTTTGTTTTGCATTTTAATTTTATTTTTATGTTCAAGGGAGTGCAACCTTCTCCTGACCGACTGTACTAGACATTTGACTTGATTCAAATATTCCTACTTTTTAATTACTCCCTCCTACACATCCTCCTCTTCCTCCCTGTTGATGACTGTGCTGGCTTCTTTTCCTGGTCTTGGCACAAATTGCCATAGAAGAGCACCAGCATGACAATATTAATGCCCATGAAACCTTATTTCTGGAATCAAGCATGTCCAACCTGCCAAGCTACCTATCAAAAATTGTTCAACATGTCCATCAATTTATCACTCTGGAGCTTTGCATGCTTGTCTGCAAAATGTGAACTTTGCACTTCTGCCTGTAGATACATGCAGATATTAGTTAGTCCTAGCGAGTAGTGTTTTGACTAATGTGTCTGTAGGATTTGCTTAGTGTCTTTATGGTCTTTTAGCTAGACTGTTACTCTAGTCTAACGTTGAACATGGGTTCAGCCAGATTTGAGCGTGTAGGGACTTGAAAATCAGACATTTAATCAAGCCCCTCCAGGGTCAGATTAAGAAAATTATGTGCCTTATTAATTTCTGGGATTTAAAACATTTAGGGGATAGCTTCGCCGGTGACATGCTGGAGATTTTCAGCTCTGAACTAAAATCAAGAACCGCGATACTGTGGAAACTAACCAGAAGCTGTGGAAAAGGAACAAGCTCAGCCTTCATTCACAAAATTTACCCATTAAGTCACATAAGCACACAGTCTGTTAAGAGTCAGATGTTCATTCAGAGGCTACATTTAGTTTTTTGGCTGGCTGGTATTTTTCTTCTGACTTGGCTTACAGCTGCTTTACACTGGATCTACATTTAAAGTAGTCATGTGAATGCTGTCAGTCATGACAGGTGCGCATCTTGTTCAGTGTTTCCTGCTTGTGCTTATCTTCCATCCAGCTTTTTGCATTTAGTGTCTGCTGTCTGTTCAGGCACTTAGACCAGTAATCAAAATCTGCAGTAGCAACAGAATCTTGCAGCGTTTTTGTGAAATGAGCAGAAAATCAGAAGCACTGAAGGATAAGGTGTATGTGACTATAGCAGGGACTGGATATGATATTTTCACCTGTGTAGGACTGATAAATGGTTGAGGTCAGACAAATAAAGTGAGTTTGATTTCAGTTAAGGTTAAGTTTGGCTTATGTAGTGTTCGTCTGGTTAAAGGAAAGCTCAAACCAGTGGTTTTGCATGTTTTAACTCAATATGTAATTCAATGCCAATCATTTTCTAACGCATACCATATATTTTTAATGATTCCCACCTTCCAGGAAGGCACTGGCTTTACTTTTACGACAGTAAACTAAAACTTGAAACTCATTTGCATTCAACAAATTTGAGAATTAACTACCAAAGAGCAACTTATTTTAATGCAAGAAACTTCACATTGTCCTTTTGAGTTCTGCCTTTGTTTGTTTTATGGATTAGATCTTTGTTTTTCAACAATATAGCTCATAGGAGTTCTTTTTGGCAATTTTGGGATGTTGAGCTTTCTCTTAGCAGTGGTTTTGATGCCATGCTACTCAGAACTCAAAGTGTTGAATGTGGTCGTTGCTTCAAGTTTCAAGTTGATTGCCACATCTTGTTGAAATGAACTGAAGCCAGTAGTGTCTTGGAAGATAGGTGATCAATCTAGAAACGTGTGGCAGTCTCTGGACAATGTTTGGCAACAACGTGACATATATACAAAGTCTTATTGTATGGAGTACGACATGCAAAACCACTGGCACGGTTGTTGTAGTTCCTGTTTCTAGTTGCCTCCTTCTAATAATATATTCTTGGTAGGAAAACATTTCTCACGTTATTTGCATCTTAGCATATCATGCACATTTCACAAAATTTCATGAGACCAGGCTGGCATGATAAAACGTCAGGCGTGCTAACAGATAGCTCACACACTCAAACTCAATTTTGTTTTGACTTCCAGATGAAGCTGAGCAGTGATGCCTCTCCAAGCATAGTGCAGATGCAGTAAATGAGTATACATGTACAGCTCTGTTAACTCAGTAAGGGGGGAACAATATAAAGTAGTCGGCCAGCAGTATCTGGGTTCAGTCAACCTGGTCTCCTCGTCTCCCTGATAGGCTTGGGTAACTACCCTCAGGACCCCTCTGCCTACGGACCAACGCGTCCTTCTCACAGTTATGGTCAGGATGAGCAGGGAGGATATAGTGCAGGTAGGTGCCAGCATCGTCTTCTCCAACCACAAAAGTAGCATTTGTTCAGTACTGTAGTGTTGTATAGAGCTGCAACCTGGTTCTTTTCTGCTTTCCTTTTGCTCTGTTTTGTATTTTGCATGTACATTTTGCATGTAAATACAAATTACTGCGTGTACTCTAGTATAGTAAAACACAGCCAGCAACTCTGTCATCTGAGTGGATTTGAAAAAAATCTACATTGAAGTGTGGCATTCAGAGCTCTAAGCACATCATCTCCCTCAGCGGCTGTAGCTTTACTATACCAAGACCAACCATGTACTCCTTTTTTGTCCAGTCTCTCTGTCTGCATTGCTTTGCTGATTATAAAAGGATGATCTAATTGTCAGAAAATGTGTTCATGGTTCAGTTATCAGCCTATGTACCCTATGCATCAGCAGTCCATTCACCTGTTGTTTTTTCCACATGTACTGTTTCCACATTATAGTAAAAGGAGTGAGAAAGGAAAGAACATTTAAAGGACATGATGCCACTAAATTTCCAGTTTCTCTCAGATTCTTCTGTCGGGCGGTCCTGTTTGTGCCGCTCCGTTCTTCAGATTTCTTTTTTTTTCTTCCATTCATGGAGCACTTTAAGCATCCCAAAAGAAATGTGCTGTATTTTCTAACTTTACCCCCTTTTTTTCTTTCTTTCTGTCTTTCTATCTCTTGTCTGTCCATTCCAGTTATTTATAAAGCTCCCCACTCTAGTATGTATTGGTGACTTATAGAAATCAGTGCTAACTGGAAGTTACCAGGGCAGGAAAATAACCAGTCACTAGCAAGATGCTGGAAAGATTTGGCTGCAAGTGGTTTTCATGTTCTACCAAAAACCACTTTATTTCAAGGTAAAGGCCATTTGGCCTGGACAGTGGCCACTTGATTTTGGGTTGCACTAGCCATTTTTTTCAGGCAGATTAGTTTCCTTCCCTGGGTGTCACTTTGGTTCCCATGTCTGTTTGCAGGGAGGTGGTGCCATCCAGTGTCTGAATAGAAGAACATCTATTCTATCATCAAGGGAATCTAGAGATTGTTTTCCTCAATGAAGCCCATTTTAAATGATTAAATGTAAACAATTAAATCCACCTGAAATTGTCATTTTTGTCTCTATACATTTTAACATTGTTACACAATAACTTTCAACACTAAAGGGCACATTGAAGGAATATAGTATTTGAATCTAGAGGAAAAATCCACCATGAAACCTTTTAAACTATTGTTCAGAGTGCACATTTTATTGCTTGGTCCATTTTAGTTGTTTGGTGGTGGTGTTCATTTTTTACAGCACTTTCTCCCAAACACATCTCAGATCCCTAAGACAAACAAACAATAATTAGAAATAAATCTTTGATTTTTTTTTTAGATTTAGTCAAGATGTAATTACAGAAAATGGTATAAAAAACTGCAGATAAGCCTATTAAATGTATCTAATCTAGCAGTTATCAGGTAAAACATTAATGGGTATTAAAGGCTGGTGATAAAGTAGATCCTGTGACAAAATTGGTAAAATTTGAACAAGAAGGCAGCGTGATTATGAGAATCATTTTGATGTGACGTACCAACACTTAACAACAGCTGCAGTAGAGTTTCACAGCACTATTGTTGTTCACCAAAAATTTTAAAATTTAACTAAACATAATAATTGCACTGCATAATATCAGGGTAAGGGGGTGGATTTTCCCTTAACATTTTACTTTTAAAGCAGTTAAGGCTTCTCCCTAAGACCTTCTGGTGAACCTGCCATTAATATCCTTGTCTCTCTGTGGCCCCTGTCCTTTCTGTTATCCCCTCTGTTGTCCTCCTCAGGGTACGGGCAAGACCTGACAGCCTTCGGCCACAGCTTCGCAGACCCCAACCAGCCGACAGCCACGTACGGGGCTCCGACGGCACAACCCTCCGCCGCCCCCCAGCCTGCCGCCACTGCGTTTGGCAGAGGGCAGAATCACAACGTACAGGGCTTCCACCCTTATCGACGCTGACCACCACCTTGGGGCAACGCCGCTGTGTAAAGTACAAAAACAAACAAAAAAAGAAGTCAGGGAAATGTGTGTTCTCGCTAAAAAGCAAAACTGGAGTTCTGGATTGTTCTGTGGGAATGTTGAATGCACACAGTTTGTGTAACAGAAACCTTTGTGAAAGCAGGGATTCCAGTAAATTCAAAAGGGTGTAAAGAAACCCAGGGGTTTTTTTTTTAAATTTTTTTTTTTGCATAACTTAAGGAACCTTCAGCAGAAAGAAGCTTTTATCCCCCACCCCCCCACCCCATGTTTTATAGTAGAAATGAACTACTTTGCAATAATTTTGATTGTCTGGACAAACACTAGCACAGAGACTATATGTAAAGAGACTTGCATATAAATATGTATATTTATGGTGGACACAAATGAAAACAGGGTCTCAAGTTTCCTCAGCTTTAAATTCTAGGGAAAAATGTTTTTATTTTTCATTTGGTGAATTTTGTTTACTTTCTGAGCCTTTAAAGTTTGTTTAAAATGGAGATTATGAATATATATATATTATACACAAACTGTGCAATTTTTTAAAAAGAGAATTTTGTACTATAAATGTACACCTTGCTTGTTTTTTTATTTAAAGATGTAGACTTCCCTCAGGTGGCTCTTTTGGGTGCATTTTTTGCACTTACGCAAAAAGAAAAAAAGGACAAATTATTACAAAAATAAATGTTTTAAGGATACAGTGGTTGTCCTGGATGTTTGTATTTGGTTGTGGATGTATTTGATTCTGGTGGAAGACCTGCAAAATCGAGCTGAAACTTATTAATCGTTTGATCCATTAGTAGATTCTAAGAAAACGGTTGATTAATCGTTTCAGTCATGTTTCAAGCTAAAATGTTTTTATATTTCATAGATTAGACGATTGATTTATAGAGGAAATAATCGTCAGATAATGAAAATAATCATTAGTTGCAACCTCGAAGCAAAGAGAGAAGTAATTTGTACCTTTTCTGATATCAAACTAAGGTTTAAACAAACTTAAATCTCACCAGTATTCAGATGGTTTTACGAACTGAGATTTTTGCATATTGTCAATCAATAAGGTTTTGATATTTCCACAGAATAGCAGGAGGGTTATTTCTGCTTTAAACCAAAACTGTGACAAAAGCAAGTTGAAGGAAATACAAACTGTTAACGCAAGTAAATTCATAGATTTGACTGATCGTTTCCGGGTGAAAGGCTGTAATCTGGAGACGTTTGATTTCACAAGCTAGTTCCGCCTTGTTAGCATATTAGCATTAAGCTACCCTCTCTCTGGAAAGTAGTTGACTTGTGTAATTTATTCAGACCCTGACCGTTGTTTTCTACACGGACGTTTCTCGACAAAAGACGAAGCGCTTTTCAGAGTTTCAGAGCAGAAAGTGTAAGGTAATAAATAGTTTGAGTGTTCAATGTTTTTACTACTTTCTATCTGTGAGTGCTACGTTAGCTAACGAGTCTCGCCAGTTCCTGCTTAATGGGCAGATAAGTAAGTTAGCTAGTATACAGTTGGATTTTAATACAGTAGGGTTTTATTATTTATTATATAGTTAAGGTTTGATGGGCAGGACATACTTAGGCAGATGTTGTCTGTGTAATGAGACGCTGTCGGTCAGTTTTTGGACATTTCGCCTCTAACGTATAGTTCATGTGTCAAAAAGGAAACAATTTGTTGTCTGTATTAGTGCTAGGCAATAAAACTAATGATAATTATCGCAATTTAATTTTCTTCAATAACGATATCATAAATATTCAATAAATGTTTGACTTAAATCATTTCAGTTACGAGAGAATTAGCCCTTAATTTTCCTATTAAGACATTGATTTAGTTGAGGAAAAGGGTTTAACATTTTGTTTTTCCCTCAAGCATAACGTTAGTTGATTTGATCATAATTTCTTTTAATGTCCCAATATTCGTTAAGTGATCCACTGTTTGGCATCAAATGTTAGTAATGTTTGTAATAAATAATAGTTTTAAACCACAAATAACCATTTGTTTTCTTCAACAGCAAAACTCAGCCTTTAGACTTGGAAAAATGATTTGGTATTTATCATGATAGTGCAATTGATATAGAATGATATGACATTTTGTTGTCGTGATAACTTATTTGGCCATATCTCCCAGCCCTAGTCTGTCACAATTTATTTATTTTATTTTTTTTACATGTCTACAAAACAAACAGTATGTACAAACTAAGATGATGCTGTCAGATTTGTATAAAGAATAATGTCTGAAATACCACGGCTGAGGTACAAAATTGATGAGTAACAGTAAGGGTTTGTCAATAGAAGTCACATACAAACACACACACATTGGTTACATAGAGTAAACAATTATAAAAACATAGACTGTATAAAAACAACAAAACTCAAACCAGTAGTGTAAAAATGTTTGTCATGAGTTAGGTAACACAGCTGAAAACAGAAAGTAGACCTATAAAACACTACATTTGTTGGATATCTAGTTTAAGGAAGTATTTTTTGCTTTCAGTTCAAACACACTGTGTTTGCTATTTTGCTGTGAAAAAGTCTTCACAGTAGTGTAAACAAGACAAAATTCAAAATTTCCCTCAATAAGTGCTGGAGAATAACTAGTGCATTATCTCACTTGTTATTCTCAAATTATATTTTATGTATTGAATCATTATTTAGTCTTTGAAATGTCAAAATTGAAAACATGAGTCAATTTGTAAAAGGCTACATTTATTTCGAGGCACTTGCAAACACAATGGCCTTTCATACAGCATTTTAACACAAACCACTTACAAGACTATATATATTTTAGAGAAAGCGAATGAGACTACAGTGAAGTGCGATAAAATAACAAAAAATAATGCCACAAAAATTAAAATAGTAACCATAATATCAGAATAGACAGACTAAGGACTAGCGTTTTATTGCAGGTACAATGGAGAAATATCTAAATTTATATTTAGAAAAAATCTGCAGCAAACATCTGTTGACATTCAATAAAAGAATTTAAATTCAAGGTCTCCACTTAACCCCATCTCATGGCCTTTATCAGTGGATGGAGATGGCTCAGTTGTCATGTGACCTGGCGCTTCAGTCACATGTGGTCATAAATGGGGGAGAATGAACTTAAAAAAAATAAAAAAAAAACTTTCACAAAGAACACATGAATCGATGTTCAGGGAGCTTCTGTAGTATTTTCTGGAAATTAACTTTTGTAGAATTTGTTCTGCCTTTAGGCCCCAGGCAGCAGACCAGCCTACAGTAAAATGTGGAGTAACAGTGCAACATTTGACAGAGTTATAACACAGACACTGAAGTGTCAGCATCATGCAGCTGAGTCACACTCAGCGAGACTCCATATCAGGAACACACAGCTGGAAGTTTGGCGGTGGTTGGCTGCAGAATGGGGCCGTCACCTCAGTAACAGTTTAGCTGTTTGTAGCATGAGAGCTTAGCTTAGGGCAGAGTCTAGGTTTTCACAGATGTGTTCAAATTGTCTGTGCAGATTCTCAGTCATCCGGGTCAGGGTTATCCAAGGAGGGTTAAATCAAGGGCAACTGGACTTTGTTGAAGATATTCAAATATGTTTAGCCTCTCACCCAAGAGGCTTCTTCAGTTCTGAAGATGGATCTGTTTAATTTATTTGATTGTCAGTTGCACCAGGTGCTGCCATGTAAACGGTGTGGAAAATCAAACCTCTTCAGTTCTCAAGTGTCTACCTGGCTTCCAACAGGGTGTCAGGTCTGGTCCAGGGTTGTTGAACGGTTAATGCACAGAGTAAAGAGGCTGAAAATTGAAGCTAAAGCAGAAGACGGCCGGGAAAGGTATGGGACTTTCTCCTCACAGCAGTCTGAACAATATTTATTTGGTTATAATTTACATAAATTTTAATTAAACAAAAAACTTTAATCAAAGCAGTGTTTTCCCATATTCTGTTTGTTAGTCACATGACATTTTAATAGTGCTGGGAAAATGTATTAATGAAATTAGGTAGTTTGTATGCTGATTAAGGTCTGAGACTTGAAGTATCAGTATCACAAAACCTTCTTTGATTAAGATTAAAAAAAAAATTTTCACTGTAGTTCTAATGTTTACCTGTTCGATTTGTTTATTGTTATCTTATTTTATATTGTTTATATTGTTGAGTATTGTGTGTATTGTATGTGATTTCATTCTCTGTGCTTTTAGTGGCTTGTGCGGAATTGCTTTATATAGATTTTTTTCCATGTAAAGCCGATGTATGAGGCTGTACATTGGCTCAGCGTTGCTTTGAACTAAATGCTAAAGTTAGCTCACTAACATGCTGATGAGTAGCAGGTAATTGATACCATATTCTACATCTTAGTTTAGCATGTTTGCATGCTAACATACACTGCGTGGTTATAAGACTAATAGTCAGTCAGATTTTGAACATCTGATTTAGTAGATAAATGTAACTGTCCTCATTTAAAGATGTATCCATATTGTATTTGGCAGTTTGCTAGTGATTCACTGTAGACGTATCTGAGCTGATCAGTCTGAGTGTCTGTCTGCAGCATCAAAGAGGAACAGGCAGGCATGACGGGGGTTGACGAGCTCTCGGACAGCACAGAGGTGGTGGAGATGGAGGACGTGAATGCCACCCATTTCCAGGTGGAGAAGCATACATGGGATGGCCTGCGGAAAATCATCCACAACAGCCGCAAGAACACAGGCGTGGTTATCAACAAGGCACCACATGACTTCCAGTTCATCCAAAAGGATGAGACCAGCCCTCACTCCCACCGCATCTATTATCTTGGTGAGCTCGGGGACCTGAAAGCTGTTGAACAATGTATTCATTATCAGTCACGGTCTTAAATTAAAAGTGCCTAATAAATTTAAGAATTTAAGAATAAACCCGGCTCAGAAAAGGTGCATTTAGTGGGCACTGACTAGTTGGTCTGCAGATTAAGTTGCCTCCTTTCATTCACTTTGAGAGGTAGCATGCTTCTGTAAATAATCTGTGGGTACAGCTGGTGAGTCAGTTACCAGCCTGCAACTATTTTTAAGCTTTGATATCCAAAGAGCTGCAGTGTAGTCAGTGTGTTCTTTGCTGCCATGTCAGAAGCAGCTTTTTCCAGTGTGTGACATCATTTCCAGAGATGTGTCAAGTGTGTGTAATGTGCACTACATAGGCCATAAGACCTGTACCCATGGTTTACTATACAAACAGTCATGCAAGGACAGCAACAAATGTTGCTCGCCATAAAGGTGGGGTATGCAACTCTAAACCAATACACATGATTTTGTCAGATTTTCAGGGGTGGTGATAGAGCAGTGGATAAGACACATGCCTTTGGTGTGAGACTCCCCACTGTGACCCATCCACCAGTGTGTCCCTGAGCAAGACCCTTAACCCCTAGTTGCTCCAGAGGCGTGCGACCTCTGATATAAATAGCAAATGTAAGTCGCTTTGGTTAAATTTGTCAGCTAAATGTAATGTAAATGTAAATTCATAGGATATCTCCTCATAGTCTGCTCTGGGTATTCTGAAAAGAAATCCTGGTGTTTGTACATAAGCTTGGTTCTGTAAATTGGAATAGGTTCAGACCGAGCCACACAACACTATTCCAGCCAGGATTTCGGGTAACGTTAAATGACTAGCCCACGGACATTCGCCTTACTGTCTAGTTCACCAACATTATCTGTTGCTGTCATGTTTGCTTTAGTAGCAGGAGAGTTGTGAGTATTGCTGTCTGGAACTGGTGTGCTGGCTCTGGGAAACCGTCTCCTACCAGGGAAATACCTGGGAAATCATATACCCTACCTTTAAATGCTGCTTTAACTTTTAGACCTTGAAGCAACTGCTGCATGGCGCTGTAGCTGGTAGCTTTTTACAACATTAATGTGATGCTGTGTAACTTTTGAAAAACAAGTAACACAATCTTTGATTTAGTAATGAAAAGTGTTATTCATAATCAATAAAACCCCCACTAGTGTGGTGGTTAATGTTAGAAAGTATTAGAAAACTGTATTAGTATTGTTGTTAACTGATGTTACTTAATCAGTTCATTTACTTTATGACTATTTACCTACTTTATTTTTTTGACTATGTTTAACCATTTACCATGATCCCCTAATTGCCTAATTGACACACTGTTTAGCGAAAGTTACAAAGTCTTGCTTTAAAAGGCTTTGTCCACTTCAGCA